GCAAGACAGATTTATGGCGCTGTAAAAACAACAACTCTCGACGAGGGTGGGCCACATTTCAGGTAAGGTTGCCTCAACAGCTGTAGCCTTGAGCTCGCGTAAGAAGGTTGGCAATCATTTGTAGGCCACATCAAAGCTCACATCGACGACTACACCGTATATACCAATTGTGTGATCCATGGGACGTGACTTCTTCCAGCTACTTTGCCATGCTCAGCACTCACTGTCCAGGGCAAGAAACAAATTGAGTGTTCATTGGGATGGTGATGCAAGGTTTCCAGGACGGATTGTTGCAGTGAAGACTGCAACATGGTTGTCACTGTGATTGCGTCAGAATAAGCTGCTCTGAACCGTTACGCATATTGCTTGGACATCAGCCTGAAAACTCTGTGTCAAGAGAGCTTAGGCACTACTCAGGGCGGACTGTGCACTACGTGATATTGTTCACAGGCATGTCCGGAACGTGCCAATGCCAATGGGTAGCAACACGTTGAATGTTGTGTTTGCAAGTAAGTGTCTATGCAACTGATGCAACATATGTATGCATGTATGCATGTATGCATGTATGCATGTATAGGTGTGTGTGTGTGTGTGTTTGTGTGGGAGTGTTCAAAGCGCTCTTTAGGCCAGCAACAAACTTGCAAGACACAGCCAAGACCTGGTACCGCTGAGATCGGAGCCCCAGGCCACTTAGTTTTTACCGCGTGGGTGTCTTGTCGCCATGAGAGGGTCCTATCTCTCGGAATGCTGTGGATGCCTTGCGCGAGGCATGGAAGGGTTCCTGGACTCAGGCAGGGCCCGGGATCCTGAGCAATGCGGTGCAATCGTGTTCGCAGGGTTGTGAGTTACGGAACTGGAACGGCCATCACTTTGGACGCCCTCATCATTTGCCTGATGTCAAACAAATATCAGAAGAGAAGCTGTGTCATTCAATCAGCATTCCCACGGACTCATCAGGGCCTGAATATGTCGTTGTGTAGCGAATCTCGCAGGTGGAAGAAACCTGGCCAGTTGCCAAGTTTGAAGGCCGGTTCTTGGACAAGAGACCCGACATCTGAATTTTGTGGATAGGGTATTGCCAGAAAGGATCATATTTTTTCTCAATCCTCGGTCCTCAATTGCCAGAATCTGGGGTGCGCTTGCTTCGGCAGCCTCTCGCCAGCCACAAACCCCACGTCTCGCCCCCCACGTCGCCGGTCTCTGCCAGGCGCAGGCGACTCTGCTTGGCAGCTTGGCACCTCCTCGCTCCCCGAGTTGATGGACTGTACACTTTTTGGGTTTGGACCATGAGACCAATAGCATCTTCCCACCATGACCAAGTTCGGTTTCAAAGTACTCCACAATGCCAGTCTATCTTGTAGGCCCTTCTTCTTTAGAGCTTGTGCGATCTCCTTGATCTCCTTGCTACTACGCCTGTTATTTCGGGCGGTTTGTTTCGAGAACCGCCGAGCAAGGCGGATGTTTGCAGGGTTTGTAACATTCACCGTTTGGAGCAGCTGCCTTCGGACCTTGAAGCGCATCTCCTAAGGTCTGCTTGGGCACGGCGATATGTTGGTTTGCGATCCGTTTGTCAGTTCCTTTATATACAGTAAGCCTAACTCTGGCATTCATGGCTTGAGTTTGGGGCAGAAAGCATCATCCCAGCTGTGGTTCGGACAATGAAGCTGCACAGCTGCACAGACATAGGTGTCCTTTTTGGTTGTTTTGGTAGAACAATAGATGGCGATTCCTGGTTTACCTGGTGGTTTAATCATCTACCAGGGAAACCCATCTATTTCCAACCGAAAAGGACACCTATGTGCACAGAGCCTTCAGCTTTCGGGAGCGGCTTTGCCCCAAAATGCCGCTTCGCCAAGGAGCCAAATCATGGGGAGCTCGGAGAAGTTCGATGCCAGCCATGGGGTCAAGGCCGCACGCAGCAACCCGTGCCTTTGGCCTATGGTTTCACGGCATGGGCACCAGGTCTCACCTCTACCACCCCTTTCAACGACCGGAGTCGGATTCCATTGTGTAAATGGTCAGCAACCAGTTGCTCACTTCTATGCCTCTCCGTTGCATCGGACCATGGCAGAAAGGTTGACCTACGAGTTGCCGCACATGTTGAGTCGGACCATGCCAAACGGCAGCTGTTTTTTTTTCTTTTTTTCCCGGGATCTTTGCTCTTCTCCCCCTCGTGTCTATGTTTTAAGCAACCTTTTCAATGTAGGCTTGGTTTTTTGTTGCTCTATCCATGGCACTTTCCAAAAACCTCAAGCCTCAAACCGGCTAGGGTTTTGCTTGGTCTGCAAAAAAGTCCCCCTCCATGGCACCCCGGTCCCGGATGGACGTTCGACTTGTTCTTTTTGCCATGGAGGCGCGCCGGCCTGTCCGGGTGTTCCTTGGACAAAAGCGACGCCGATGGCGCGAGCCGAGGCTGGCGAAGGCCTTCGCGGGGGTGGCGCTGGTGTCGCTGCTCTCCTCGCTGGCGCTGCGCTGGCGCCTCGTGGAGCCGGAGGTGGAGGCGAGGGGGGGGGGAATGAGCCGCTTGGAATAGGTGAAGAAAGAAACACGCAGCTCACATGTGCATGGATGAATGAATTGCTTAGCTGCACGTTGATGTGTATGTTTGATGAATGAGTTGATAAAGGCAAATAGATAGAGTTCGACATAAAGAGGGTGAAAGGAACGCCTGGCTGTGTCGCGGTCGATTGGAGCATGGGTTGTGGTTTGTGCGTTGCACTTTCATTTGACCAAAGGCCCGTCTTGTAAAGTGCTGTGAGAATCTGGCCGGTGCTCTTGTTGGTTCCTGGAGGTCAATTTGCATTTCGAGAGGCCTCAATACCCATCCCGAGCTCAATCCCGGTTCCTAAAAAAATCCGGGGCTGGAGAGAGGGTTGGCCAAGCCTCCACTTGGAACCGCCAGCTGCACTGCTCGGATGCGACTGATTTCATCGTTAGGTACCTCACCCTCGCTGGAGATCAGTCCAGTGCCAAAGGACACAGAACAACCCCGACGTCAAAGATCATGGAGTTGAAGAGCCACCAAAAGGAAAGCCCATGCTTGGTCTATTTTCAATTTTGACACGTCACAATGACCCCCCCCAGGAAGTGAAGGATGCCATACCGGACTTTAGGCTCAAGGGGCTTGGTCAGCTGGCCCTCCAGTCGGGCATCGTTTTGACCCACGCCATGCCGTCCCCAAAAGTTGCACGGAAGTCCGACTCGCTGGTCTCGTTGGGCATTCCCGAGCCGCCCATCAAGGTGGTGCGCCAGGGGTCTGCTTTGTACCGCTCCAACTCCAACGTGCCCCTCGGAACAAAAAAGAAAGAAGAAACAAACAGTGTCGCAGGTGGTGTGTCTTTTTTTTGTTTGCTCGGTTCTTGCTTCGTATGCAAGGCGTAGTTCAGCTCACTCAGGTCCTCCAACGCGCTCTCCGAAGCGCGGGAACTCGTTCGGAGGGCATCCAGACTCTCAGATGGCTTGGGCGGCCTGGACACAGAGGTGGATGAAGAGACGAAAGTCTCCGAGATGCCAGAGTGTCCTTCCGTGTCCATGGAGTGGAGAGACATCAGTTTTCAGATCGGAGAGAAGAAGATTCTGCACGAGGCGGGGTCTGGGGTACTGTGTGTTGTTGATGTTGCTTTCTTGTTTGTCACATCCCGCAGCCTTGTTTGAGCTTGCGGGTTTGAAACCGCATCCCCAACACAATGAGTGCACAGCTTCCTTTTGAGGGCTGTCACATGGCGCTTTGGCCATCACCTTGAGGCGAATCAAAGCTCTAGGTCATGTGAATGGGAGCGGGCTTCCTGCTGGCATATCGCACGAATGCAACCCCCGCCACACAGTACTTTGCACGATGCACATGGCATGTTGATGAAAAGGGCTTTGCAAGGAGCTATTTATTCGGAGACCATTGGTGTTTGTTTGAATCCCTCCGCAACAGATCGGCGATGGCGTCGCTAATGATACTCTTTGTTCTGCGAAAGATTCCGCGTTGGCATGAATACGCACAAATAGTTGCAGACCCCACTCGCTTGTAACTGCACAGAGAGATGCGCCGCACCTTTACTTCTAGGTCGCCCAGTAGTGCCCTTTTGCCATTTCTTTTTCTAAAATAGACTACAGAAAAAAAGAAGAAGAGAGGGTACCCTTATTCTAACCTCTCTACTGGGGGACCTAGACTTGCATTCTTGATTCCCTGTTTGTGTTGGGAATTGGGCACACTAAAACACTGGCTGGGCGATTTTGGAGCAAGTTTCGCGAAAGATATGCAGAAGACCGGCGGAAGCCCATGGAGCTTGTTGAAAGGTTCCGCGCATTCCCGGCAAGCTCAAGTTGCAAGGGTGAATTCTTGACTGCTTTCATTAAGCAAACCGCCGCAAGGCTGCCAGCGCAAGTGAACTCCGTGGCTATGTTTGCCACACTGGCTCCCGAGCACACGCTGCAAACAAAAGGGCGTTGCGAAAGATTCGCGAAAGGTAATGTTGACAGTGTATTAGTAATCCCCCCCCTATTAGTCCGGTCCGGGTGGACCCCCCCAATACTAAACAATTCATATCTCAGAAAAACCCCCCTAAATAAAAAAGGGGTCCAAAACAACCCCCCCCAATTAGACCGGTCCCTCCCCCAGATGGCTGCTGCTATCTCATTTTCTCCACTGCTTCTTGAGCTCATTTCTTAGAAATGGCTGAAACATGTCATCCATGTTGACAACTCACATGCATGCAATTCATAGCATGTACTCTGCACATATGCTTCTTCCTAATCTCTTGCCTTCCCTCCTCATCCAATAGGCTGTGCACTTCTCAATGCTGCATGATAAGCAGCCTGATTGGAACCTGCATCTGCTGCACACTCCCACCTCATAGTGTTTGAGTTTCTCAATGGCCTTATGATACTCTGCAGGCAAATCTGAAATCTGCAGCTTGGAATTCTCATACACAATGGCCATGGCCTCAATCTGCAATGAAGTCAATGCCTCACCCTTCTTCATTTTGTTGCATGCCAGATCATAAGTATTATTTCTTTCCTGCATGACCTTCTGGTCATACTTCTCCAATAGAGCAATGCCATTGGCAACATCTTTCTTCTTCATGTCTATCTCCTTCTGCAACTGGGGCATGAATTTCTGCATCCTGGCATGCCAAGCTTGCATGGCCTCTTCAGGCCACCCAATGGCAGCAGGGCCATGTCCAGTCAACATGGCAACCTCCATTTCCAAGTAGGTCATGACATACCATCCACACAGATTGGAGCCAATTGGCTGCCTGATGCTGGCATTGGTTCTATCCAATGGAGGCCTCATCAAAAAGTCCTCATCCACGATTTCGTTGTTCAAAAGCCATGCCAAAATTGCATGTGCCTTGTGCAAGCATGGCTCACTCATAGTTGTCAGTGTCTCATGATATGTGATGCCATTCAATGGCAGTGCCCACCATGTATCAGCTCTGGATAGGCCAACAAACCTGCCAATGATATTAATGACCTCAGATTGTATTGGCCTCTCCATCCTCCCAATATGGACCAATCCTGTGTACATGTTGGCCCAATATGCAGAGTCATGCCCAACTGATGATGCCAGGTCCTCATCTGATTCCAGCCCCTCATTGTGAGCTGATAGAGCTGATACTGACAGTTCCTCCCATGAGCCTAGGCCTGATGAGCTTGATGTTCCAGATGCCATTGCTGGACCATGCCTGCCTAATCAGCCTGATGAGCCTAATATCACTCAATCTCGATGGACACCTCATGAATTTTCATGGAATCCCACTGGGGTGACCGTGCAAACCTGATGGAAAAGTCACTCAATCTCAATGGAAACCTCATCAAATACATGATGGGAAAGTCACTCAATCTCAATGGAAACCTCATCAAATTTCATGAAACCCCATTGGGGGGGGGGCCATACAAACTCAATTCCAGATCTCAAAAGGAAGCCCCAGCAATACCAAATCAAATGGAAACTCAATTCCAGATCTCAAAAGGAAGCCCCAGCAATACTAAATCAACTGGAAACTCAATTCCAGATCTCAAAAGGAAGCCCCAGCAATACTAAATCAAATGGAAACTCAATTCCAGATCTCAAAAGGAAGCCCCAGCAATACTAAATCAAATGGAAACTCAATTCCAGATCTCAAAAGGAAGCCCCAGCAATACTAAATCAAATGGAAACTCAATTCCAGATCTCAAAAGGAAGCCCCAGCAATACTAAATCAAATGGAAACTCAATTCCAGATCTCAAAAGGAAGCCCCAGCAATACTAAATCAAATGGAAACTCAATTCCAGATTATTTAGGGGGTCAAGGCAAAAAACCTTCCAAAATCTTGCCCCCCCAAAACCTTCCAACCTTCAAGGGGGGGGGGGGGTTACAGACTAATACGGGGTTTACATTACTGTCTTTCTCACGAAGATGCACTTGCCGGTCCGTAGCTAGGTAATGCTAAGTGCTTGCTCCATGTCACAATGTCCATTTCGTTGTCTTTTCGTGTTTTGTTCGGCATGACGCGGTGCAAAGATATTTCGTGCCGCAGAACAGCCGTAGCTGTCCACACTGGGCTTAGCTTACGTGCTTATGCTGCAGCTCGTCCTTAATCAATTGTGTTCGTTTTACGCAGGTCACAGGCATCCTGAAGCCAGAATGCCTCACGGGGGTCATGGGCCCATCCGGCTGCGGCAAGAGCACGCTGCTGAACATCCTGAGCGGACGCCAGCGCACAACTGGCGCTGCCATGAGTTTTGAAGGGGAGATGACCTTGGGTGGCATGCCGCTGACTTCCAAGCAGATGCCCCTCCGATTCACTTGGCGCAGTGCGGATTTCTTGGACAGTTGTTGCGTTCAAAAGGAGGGACAAACTTGCAAGCAGCTCTGATTCGGACAGAAGGTTGTTGGGAGCAGATAAGCTGCACACAATTTGCAAGATTGAAGACGTCCAAGATGGGCACAGTCCTTGCCTGGCTGTTGCTTTGAGGTTGTATACAAGTCTTTCCTGGCTGCTTAACACATGTTATCGCGGGCATAGAGCCCTCTCCTGGCCGCCCAAAGGAAGCAAAGAGGTGTTCTGGGAATCCGAGCAACCGCAGACCGGATGCAGTGTTGAGCCACAATTCCATATTCGAGCCTGAGCAGTAGAGAAAGCCTGTAAAAATACCTCAGCAAGTTCAAACATGCAGATTGCAGGCCCAAGGCCTCTGTGTCGCTTGGTTCCAGCCGTTGACTGGCAAGTTGGATCCATAAAGCGCAGTTTGCAGGGTGAACTCCAGATCGATTGTGTCCCGCAAGGTGGCCATGGTGTTTGGGACCCGGCTGGTTCATGATGTTGTGGGTTATGGGCTTGTAAGCACTCACATAGGTTGGGGAGCTGCCCGTATTTGTTGTTTGTTCAAAGAACCGCCAGCACTTAAGCTTGGCTGCGAGTGTTTGGGTATGAATCTGCGAGGCGTGTGGAAATGTTTGCAGAGCGTTAATATGCCGACTAGATTTACCACAAACAGCTGGAAATCGGTGAGGTTGTTCTTTGTGC